ACTACTACTACTACTTCTTCTTATTCTACGACTAGTATTATCAGCACTACTACTACTACTACTACTACTACTACTACTACTACGATAACTATGACTACTACTACTACTACTACTACTAGTACTGCAACTACTACTACTACTACTACTACTACTACTACTACTACTACTACTACTACTACTACTACTACTACTACTACTTAAACTACTACTACTACTACTACTACTACTACTACTACTACTACTACTACTACTACTACTACTACTACTACTACTACTACTACTACTACTACTACTAAGACTACTATTCTGCGCGCGCCGTCCTTCCCCTCTTCCCCGCTCCCTCCTCCTCCGCCTCCTCCTCCTCCTCCTCTCTCCCTCCCTCCCTCCCTCCCTCCATCCTCTCTTCCTCCCCCCTCCCTCCGTCCCTCCCTCCCGGGGGCGGCAGTGGCCGCGGCGACACGCTGCTCAGCCGCCGTCTGCCGGTTCCTTCGGTGGCCAGGCGGAGGGTCAGGGTCACTCACGGCCAGATGGCCCTTCGAGACTGATGCTGTCCACAGGCTGTGCCGCCTCGGGCTCTCGATGTGCCGGGGGGGTCTGCGTCGCCGCCCCGCGGCCATCCTCCCCTTGTCTGGCCGTTGCAGATGCGGCCGGTGCCGCCTCGTTCGGCGGCGGAAATCCGCGAGTTCCCTCGGAAACGGGAACCGTCGCCACGCCCCCTTGATCCATGTTTGCGATCGCCTGGTCCCCCCCCCCCGTGGGCGACCAGAGAGGACCCTGTGCCCGCAAGTCCCCCTGCATCCGCCTTCCCTAGCACCAACCAACCCAACCCCCCTCCCTCCTCCCTCCCTCCCCCCCCCGCCTTCCCTCCTTCCCGCACCCTCCCCCGCGCGGGGGGAGCCCGAACGGAGCGTCGCCGCCGGGGTGCTCCCGCGGCGGCGGGGCCGCCTCGGCGCGTGACGGGCGCGCGCGCGCGGGGCGAGGTGTGCGGGAGGAGCGGTGTGCGAATAGCGCCGCGAGCATGCGAGGGCGAGGAGAACAAGAGAGGGAGGGGAGGGAGAGAGAGATGTATAGATCGAGGATGCTTGGTTGCTGGGCCTCTGGGTCACTCTTCATCGCCACGGCTGGGTTCCCCTCGAACTGCCGGTCGGAGCTCGCCTCTGAACGTCTGGAGGTCGCTTCTTCGAGGGAAGGCCCGGACGTCCAGCGTCACGGACAACAGCTGCGACGGCAACACCTTTCCACATTCAAGCTTTCGGAGGCCAATACTTGAGCCGTGTAGCCATCTCCATCTCACCATGGATAAATTCACTCGACGCGAACAAAAACATGTGTGCATCCCATTGCCTGGCCCGTCCCGCTGTGAGCGTCTGGCTGTGAGCGTCTGGGTGTGAGAGCGAGTCCAAGTGGACGACGGGTACGACGACGACAACGACGACGACGACGACGGCGGCTACGATGAGGAACAACGACGACGACAACAACAACGCAAAAACAGGCGGTGAGCAGGTCCTTCCCCTCTCCCTCCTCTTCCACCTCGTCGTGCTCCCTCCCTGCTCTTCCTCCTGCCTTCCTTTTACCTCCTCCTCCTCCTCCTCCTCCTCCTCCTCCTCCTCCTCCTCCTCCTCCTCCTCCTCCTCCCCCTCCCCCTCCTCCTCCTCCTCCTCCTCTTCCCCCTCCTCCCCCTCCTCCCCCTCCCTCTCCCCCTCCTCCTCCTCATCTCCTCCTCCTCCTCCTCCTGGGTCCGCCTCCTTACTCATCCGTCCTCTCTCATCCTCCCTGGCGGCCGTCCTTCTCCCCCTCCTGCGTCCTACTCCTTCCGTCCTCCCTCCTCCTCCTGGCAAGTGCCCCCTTTCCTGGCGGTCCCCTCCCCTCTCCTTGCTCTTTCTCCTCGCCACAGCTCCTCCCTGCTCTTCCTCCCTCCTCCTTTCTCCCTCCTCCTGCGTCCTCCTAATTCCTCCTCGGTCCTTCCTCCTCCTCCCTTGCGGCCGTCTTTTTTCCTACGTCGAGGTGGCCATGGGGCCACCAGGCAAGCAAACCGCCTGAGACATCCACGCAATCTGGCCCACCCCTGCCCCCGTCCCCCTGTTGGGGTGCCGAAGCCAACAACTTGCCTGAGACGTCCTCACACCCGGCTCTGAAAGCAAGCAAGTCCAAGCCACCAAGCAGGCACACCGCCCGATACATCCCCTATCATCTGGCCGCGAACTCGGCCGTGCAACCACCCCTGCTTCTCCTCGGGGTGCTGAAACCAGCGAAACTTCTGAGACATCCTCACCACCGGATCTGAATGCAGACACGTCCAAGCCATCAGCCAGGCACACCGCCTGAGTCCCCCTTTGGGCTGCTGAAACCAGCAAGTCGGCTGTCACATCCTCACACTGAGCGTGGTTGGCTGAGTGTGACTGGGTACGAGTGTGAGTGGATTTGACCACGAGTGAGTCCGAGTGCAAGTGGGTTTGGGCGCGTGTAAGCCTCAGCGTGCGTGCGTCGGAGTGTAAGCGAAGCTGAGTGTGAGTGGGTCAGAGTGTGCGTGAGTCTGGGTAAGAGTGAGTCTGCGCGCATGTGAATATGAATGTGAGTGAGCATGAGCATGACTGAGCCTGATAATGAGTGAGTGGGAGCATGAATATGGCTGCGAGTGCGTCTAAGTATGAGTGGGTCTGGGTGGGGAAGCGGACGGAGAAAGATGGGAGGACAGATATAAGGAGGGGGAGGAGGAAGAGGAAAAGGAAAAGGAGGAGGAGGAATAGGAGGAGAGAGTCGAGGGCATCACAGTAATGAAACCAGCGACTGGCTCGAGACACCCTCACAACCTGCTCCTATCGCAGAAGAGCCTGGGGGGCAATGGCAAGCAAACCGCCCGAGACATCCCCATCATCGGCGCGAGCGGACGAGTGTAACCACCCCTTGCGGCTTCCCCTATAGCTGCTGAAACCAGGCCTCGCTCGAGGCATCCTCACAATCTGCTCTGGTTGCGGTGAAGTCTAAGCAACCAAACAACCACAAGGAACCAGCACAGAGTGTGAGCACGTCTGAGCGCGCGCGAGTCTGAGTGCGAATGCGCATGAGCGCGTGTGACTATGAATGTGAGTCTGCGTGCTGATTGATTGAGTATGCGAATCAGAACCTGAATGTGGGCGGAACCGAGTGTGGGCGAAGCGGAGCGTCAGAGAGCCTGAATGCGAAGGAGTCTGAAAACAAATGAGCCTGTGTATGGGTGAGTCTGAGTGCATGTGGGTCTGAGTGAGGGAGAGGAGGGCGTGGGTAAACCTGAATGTGAGTGAGCCTGAATATGAGTGCGTTTGAGTACGCGTGAGGTCTGAGTGAGTCTGAGTGGAGAAGAAGAAGAAAGAGAAGGAGAAGAGGAGAGGATGAACCATTGCAATATCCCCATCTTCGGATATGGGGAATCACCTCAAACATAGAAACCAGGAAAACCCTGGAGGCCAATGTTTGAGCCGGATGGCCATCAGCAAATTACCTTGGTAGAACAAAACAACCCATAAGAAATAATCGAGACAGCCAGGGGCCTACGTTATGGAAACATCGTGGCGCCAGAGGTCTGGGAACGAAGCGGATGAAGGAGGGCGAATGACAGATTTGGGCGTTATTCCTTCTGGGTGGCGCCAATGGGCGCGTTCCACGGCGGGAAGCACCGTTAAACAACTTGTCAGGATGGGGTCCAGGCGGGGCCTGGGAACTGATAGTGGGCGCACAGGCTGGGGAGGAGAAGTTGTTTTAACTTATCCTCGGGCTATCGTCAAAACAATAACCCCTGCACGTGGCCGACGCGCGACGGGGGGGCCCGAAGGGGGGCCGAAAGGGAACGAGGGACGGAAAACCCAGGACCCGGACACAGCCGACCGAGGGACGCGACCGAAAAACACGGACCGAAACCACGAAGGCCCGATCATTAAGATATCAGGGCGCTGAACAGGGCGTCCAAGAGAGCCGTGCTGGCCGATATACGACGCGGCGCGAAACTGCTCGAGACTGACCAAGCTAACGCCAATCGGCGTCTTTTTTTAGTATATATATATATATAGACCCCGGCCAGGCGATGTTTGCCCAGCAGTGTTAGTTCATTGCCAGCGTTGAGCTGGACCCCAAACTGTGACATCTCCGATGTCAGGGGGCAACCAGCGGCCGCGCGCACGAGGCTGCGATCGGCCACGGGTCTCCACCTGCCCCTGGCCAGACAGCAGCTGCTGTCGAGCCACTTCGTTGGAACGGGAAAGGTACAGGGGAAGGAGAGAACTGCACAACGCCATGCGCTCGCCATGCCTTGGCCGCGAACTTTTGGCGACGGGAGTGCAACCTTAGGCGGGCTTCAAAGTGTTGGTCGGGGGTGCCTTGGATCCCCCGCCGACGAGCCGAATGCAAAGCAAGGAAGGCATCTATGCACGGCACATATAGGACATTGGCGACTCGTGACGTTGGGGTGAGAAGGAGGACAGAGTAGAGCCAGGAGGTCATAGACAACCAAGCCATTTGGATAATAGAAGGTAACGACGAAGGCATCTGGCGTAGTGGCCGATTTCGTCGAGATCGTTCGTACCTTGCGGCGGACAATCTAAGGCGCATCCTGGGGGACGGGAGTGAAACAGAACCGATGTACAAACACTTCTTGTGATACTTCTGAGCCATGCAACCAACAAGTATGGCTGTTTCTTTTGAAGGACCTGGAACGAGTTGATCCAACATCTGTCAATGTGGATCAGGGAGGCAAGCGGGAACCACGCCCTCAGACGCCGAAGAAGGATGTGCTTGGGGCCCTCGGGACGAGCTTGCGAGTCCCAGTGGGAACTGTGGAGAACAGCTTGGACTGATTTAGGATATGCTGGAAGATTCCGAGGCGCAGAGAAGTATATGTTGTACATAATGCGCATACAGTAAAGGAAGGATGAGGACCACCAGCCCGAGACCATGCGAGCGACAGCGCATTCAGCATCGTCAGCAAGAGAATCCATATTCCCAAGGACCACTCCGACTTCAGGATGCCGAACAATCTATCTCATACAAGTGGCCTTAGCGAGGGTACCGATGTCTGGGAAGGAGAACAGTCGGTGGACTTCGGTGAGCTGGACACAAGGATTATATGACATCGCATTACGAGGGCCAACAGTAACATGCATAACAGCTTCACGGCAAGTATGTAGCAGACGAGATGCGACGGGGTGTACTTGCATCACAAAAGAGAGCACTGGGACGCACATCGCTTTGGAGGTGAGGATCGATCGCGCGAGACCGAGGCCGAGCGTGCGTGTGACATTCACTCGCTGGCAGATCTAGGCGAGGGCAGCACCGTAGGCATACTTGTCCGCGTCACGACCCCGAAAATTCAGAGGTACTTCGCAGCAGACAGTGCTTGGAAAAGTTTGGGGGTCCAAACAGGGGTTAGCAATGGAGTCCTTGAAGAGCTGGAGGCCCATGGAGCCCACAAAGCAGAATTGGCACTTCAGGAAGTTGAGACGAAAACCAACAATTTTTCGAACCGCCCGATCGTGGCGAGGATGGGGCCCAGGGAGGAGACGACATTGCATAGCCCGAAAAAGAAGTCGTCGGCATACGCGAGGGTTCTGTCGATATGCTGAGATGGTTTGATCATAAGCCAGCGCAAGAGGGGGTCAGCTGCAAGAGCAAAACACATCATACTGCTCGGGCTCGGGCAACCTAGTGCCAATCGGCATCTTGGGCAGGACCGGCATGTCGCGCAGTGGCGCGTGCCGAGCCCAGGTGCTGTCCTGCGCAGGCTGCGGCGGCATACGCCCTGAGCTCGGGCGAAACGGCCCCAAGAAACTCGGCAGCTCAAAGGGCGTCGCCCATGATGTGATGGTGTCCGCCGATGGCGTCGCTCAAGTCCCGGTGGGCGGTCAGAACGGTGCGGAGCAAGACCATGCGCCGCTGCAGCGCCTGAGCCCGTGGCATTCCAAGTCCACGACGATACTCGCGCGAGCGACGGCGACGCGCGAGCGTCCTCGCACTCGCGGCAGCCCAGCGGCGTCCCGTGCTCTTGCTGAAGACGGCGTCATCCTCCATCGCGGCCACTTGCGCACCAGCGCCCGAACGGGCGCGCTGGCGAGGGCCTCCCGAAGCGCGGTTGACTTGAGCCAAAATGGCTACGGAGGGGAGGAGGAGTACGTGGGGTGAGGAGGAGGAGGGGGGCGAGGAGAAGGGGGAGGAGGAGGAGGAGGAGGAGGAGGAGGAGGAGGAGGAGGAGGAGGAGGAGGAGGAGGAGGAGGAGGAGGAGGAGAAGGGGGAGGAGGAGGAGGAGAAGGGAGGAGGAGGAGGAGGAGGAGAGGAGGAGGAGAAGGAGGAGGAGGAGGAGGAGCGAGGATCCAAATGTTTGGGCGCTCCTGGGCCTCATCATATGGGGGGCCCTTGTGGCCACGGCTGGACGCAGCTCGAATAACATGCCGAGCGCACCCCAGGACAGGTCTGGGGATCGACTTTGGAGGAGGAGGACCCTGGGTGGAACACGGACCTGCTTCCACCCGCCGTGCCCCTGGGCGGGACGCGAACATTATTTTCATAAGCCACTGTTGCAACCTCTTGCGCAGGAAGAGGGTGAAGCGAAATGACGCACCCTTGCCCGAAGAAGCATTGAACATTCCGATGCCCCCTCACGACCAGGGAGAAAGCTTGTGCGTTCCTGAATGCCCCCCCCACTCCCTCTAAAGAGGAGACGGAACACAACAAAAGGGTTCAATAATGCGATAATGCCCCGAATCTGTTTCGTAGCTGTTCCGCTGGACGAGGGACCATGCGAGCACGTGAGCCTATTCTGACCCAAGGTGGTTCCTGCGAGTCCGTACCAAGAAACCATTTCCTCCTCCTCCTCCTCCTCCTCCTACTCTTCCTCGTCCTGCTCCTCCTCCTCCTCCTCCTCCTCCTCGTCCTGCTGCTGCTGCTTCTCCGTCCACTCCGCCTGTCCCTCCTCCTCGGTCTCCTTCCCCTCTGCTGCCTCGCCCTCTTCCTCCGCCCGCGCTTCAGCATAACATGCAGCCACGTAACTCCTAGCCCCCGCAGGGAATGAGAAGTGAGGCACCGCCTCCTCCTCCTCCTCCTCCTCCTCATCATCATCATCATCATCATCATCATCTCATCCCCCTCCTCCGTATCCGCTTCCTCCTCCTCCCGCGTTTCTTCTTGCTCCTCATCCTCCTCCTGCTCCATCGGGGCTGTGGGATACATAGCGGTCAAGACAATGTTTTCTGCTACTCCTTCTCTTGCTTCTCCTCGCGCTCATCATCCCCCTGCGTCTCCCCTCCTCTTCCGTCTGAGCAACCATACGAGGAACCGTGCACGGTAGCGGACACTCAGGCGCCCGAATTCGAGCAGCAGACGATGGCGAAGCGAAGCCGAGCCCACTTCGCCATCAGGAATTCTCTACACCATCCGAGCAGAAGTTCTACGCACATCACGAAAGGAGCGCACGGTGATGAACGCGAGCGACGATCACTGGTAAAGCAAGTGCGGTGGACAGGACGTGAGGATGGCATGCCTGGGAGAATCTTGCAAGCAATGTGCCAGGATCATCCTGCATCGGGGAAGGAAAGGAAGACGAGGGGGACGGGGAGGGGGTATCAGAAGGGAGAACGAGGAGAGGAGGGGAGCGAGGGAGGACAAGGAAGAGGAACGCGATGGGGAGCTCAGACCAGGAAGGGAGGGAAAGAGAGGAAAGCGACGGGGAGGGAGGGACGAGAAAGGGACGGGAGGTCTACACGATCGTCGAGCGCAACTCTCCCCTCTGGGCGGCGGGCAGCTGCGGCAAACCGTTGAACGTCGCTTGAATCCTGGCGGTGGCTTGCGGGGCGGCGGTGTCGCGCCATCGTGAGGCGTGGCTCCGCGCCGTCGTCGGTCCAAGACTGGTGTGGACTCCGAATGTACCTCCTCCCCCCCCTCCTGCTGCTGCTTGGGTGCTCTCGCTGGCTCCAGGCTGCCAGTGCAGCCTGGCGAGGGGGAGGGGGAGGAAGCGAGAAGCAACTCCTCCCCCCCTTCCTGCTGTTGCTTAGGTGCTATCGCTGGCTCCGGCCTGTCAGTGCAGCCCGGTGGGGGGGAGTTTTTTCTCCAACATCAGCCTTTCTGTTCCAACAGCAACTTTTTGTTTCAAACATCAACTGCAGCCTGGTGAGGGGGAGGGAGAGGCAGCGAGAAGCAGGCAGACGACGGCGACGGACAAACGCAGAGCGGGGAGGCCAGGGCCCACGGGACGAGGAAGGCGAAGGGAAGGCAGACGGGACAGAGGGGAGGAGGAGGGGGAGGAGGAGGAGGAGTAGGAGGAGAAGGAGGAGGAGAAGGAGGAGGAGGAGGAGGAGGAGGAGGAGGAGGAGGAGGAGGAGGCAAGCACGGGGCAGGGGGAAGAGGACGGGAAGCAGAAGAGGCGAAGGGGCCGAGGGCTGAGGAGCGGGGGGATGAGGTGGGGGCGAGGGACACACACAACTGCCTGCAGACGGGCCAGGCCAGGGGCTGGCCAGGGGCTGGGAGGGAGTGGCCGCCCGCGAGGAGCATACGGCCACAACGGCGGAGACACCGACCAGGCGGCAGCGAGGGCGGCGCGCTGGAGCCGGCGGCCGTCAGAGTTGCCCGGGGGGAGGGAGGAGGCAGGATGAAGGCAAGGAGGGGAGGACGTTTGATGTATCGGTTTGGAACAATTTCTTGATGTGTGACCTGACGTCGCCGATACATTCCCGATCGACAACGGGCTCGTTTCTAGGGGGCGCTGCCTCCAACGAGCTACGACAAGTGTCGAGCGCAGCGCAGACCTTTACTTGCTCCCCTCCTCCTCCTCCACAATTATACAATTTGACTACTGCTCTCCTCTCTCCCCTGACTTGTCTGGAGAGTGCTCCGTTCTCTCCACGTGCTGTTTTTTACACACATGATTTCATTATTTGGGTTTCCCGATTTGTTTTTTCAATCCTGTCGCGTCGGGTTTTTCCACAATGGTGCTCCCGCTGTAGCGCCGTCCTCATTTCCGCGCTTCGACCATTCAAAAAAAATCGTGCTCCCGCTGCAGCGCTGGCCTCATTCCCGCGCCTCCAGACGGCACTTGGCATTCGAAAGCGCCCACGTCGGGCGTCGGGTACGGTTGCGGAGAACATGGAGCCGGCATTCCAGACAGGCCCTATCCTCTCGCAAACGTGCCACTTACCATCCAAGCCATCCGGTACCATGCCACGGCATGCAATGCGAATGCTGTGTTGCGCACCGCTGTGCGATGCAATGCTTTGCGTTGCTATGCCTTGTGATGCAATGCTTCACTACGCAATGCCACGCCATGCTATGACATGCTATGCTCTGCCGTGCTCTTCTACGGCATGCTTTTCCATCCATCGCTTACCCTCTTGGGATCATTGCCCTGCTCAACATCCGACTGTACGCATAGATCGGAGATCTACGCCATGGTCAAGGATGGGAGGGATGGGTCGGACGTCAGATGTGACGCTGGCGCACCTAGCTTGCTCCTCCCCCCTCCTCCCCCGCCGCCTCTTCGTTGTCCTCACCTCTGCTGCCACTCCTCTTCTCTCCCTTCTCCCGCACCTGCTGCTGCTCCTCCGCCTCCTCGTGCTCTGGCGCCGTTGCTGCTCCAGGCTCGAGCGATCGAGCAGAAGCTCAACCAAATCTTTACCTCCCCCTCGCTCTCGAGACACCATCTGCCCCCGCTGCCGACCCGGGCGGTCCGCATCCATCCACTTGATGGCCATGCCGCTCTTCCCCGGCACTTGGTACTGTATGCGCAGCCGGCGATGCTGGCGCGGGGCATTCGCGGGAGGGGGGGACGACCCCGCTGTCTCGAAGCGATCGCCCTGCAAAAGCTTCTTCCCACCGCAGTCTCAAGCTGCTCACGGCATAGGCCGCAGCGACCGTGGGCGAACCTCCTCATTCTCCTCCTCCTCCTCCTCCCCCTCCCATCCCCTCCACCTAAGCCTGCATGCGGCAGTGTGAACGCAGGGCGGCTGTAGTGGAGGCGACCTCATGCCTGCTGTTACTCCTGGGGACAGGTGTGGGACTTCGGATCCGACCTTCAATTTTTCCCAACCATCCTGTGGTGTTGGGTCCTCGTTTTGAAGAGACAGCGCCCCGCGTTCCCACTCCTCCTCCTCCTCCTCCTCCTCCTCCTCCTCCTCCTCCTCCTCCTCCTCCCGCTGCCCCCTCTTTGCCTCTGCCCTCCGCATGTTTCTGTTTCGGCACACCCATCACACGTTTCGGGGCCCCATCGGGAGCTCCACTGAAGGCCCCAGTGGCTGCGCTCGCATGAAGCCGCCGCATCAATTTCGGCACACCTCTCATACGTTTCGTGTCCCCATAGGGAGCTCCACCGAAGGTCCAAGTGGCTGCGCTCGCATGACACCGCCGCACTCATTTCGGCACACCCCTCACACGTTTCGTGGCCCCATCGTGAGCTCCACCGAAGACCCCAGCGGCTGCGCTCGCATGATACTGCCGCACCAATGTCGGCACACCTCTCACACGTTTCGTGGCCCCATAGGGAGCTCCACCGAAGGTCCAAGTGGCTGCGCTCGCATGACACCGTCGCACTCATTTCGGCACACCCCTGACACGTTTCGTGGCCCCATAGGGAGCTCCACCGAAGGTCCAAGTGGCTGCGCTCGCATGACGCCGCCGCACCCATTTCGGCACACCCCTCACACGTTTCGTGGCCCCAGAAGGGGGCTTCACCGAAGGCCTGTGGCTGCGCTTGCATGGCACCATCGCGCACATTTCGGCATACCCCTCACACGTTTCGTGGTCCCAGAGGGAGCTCCACCGAAGGCCTCAGTGGCGGCGCTCGCATGACACCACCGCGCCCATGTTGGCACCCCGCTCACACGTTTCGTGCACCATAGGGAGCTCCACCAAAGACGATGCCAACAATTGCGTTACTCACAACTGCACATGCTTGGGTCCTTCGCCAGGATACTTGTTTGTGGGGGTCAGGGGGGTGGCGTGTGTGTTGTTTGTTTGTCTGTTTGTTTGTTTGTTTGTTTGTTAGTGTTTGTGTGTGTGTGTGTCGGGCGATGCGTCGTTGAGGTTTTCGCACTCGCAACGTAGAAGCGTATGTCTGTACATATACATAGGTCATCTGTCGATTCGCACATACATGTTATGTGTGCGCGTGTGTGTGTGTGTGTGTGCTTGTGTCGCCACCACCCCCTGACGGGCACTCGACGTGCAGGCGAGTCGCCTCGCCGCTACGACCGAAACGTGCGCGCGTGCGTGCGTGCGTGCGTGTGTGTGTGTGTGTGTGTGTGTGTGTGTGTGTGTGTGTGTGTGTGTGTGTGTGTGTGCGTGCCTGCGTGCCTGCGTGCGTGCGTGCGTGCGTGCGTGCGTGTGTGTGTGTGTGTGTGTGTGTGTGTGTGTGTGTGTGTGCGAGTCTGTGTGTGTGTGTGTGTGTGCGTGCGCGTGTGGATGTGTGTGTGTGTGTGTGTGCGTGTGCGTGTGTTGTGTGTGTGTGTGTGTGTGTGCGTGTGGTGTGTGTGTGTGTGGTGTGTGTGTGCGTGCGTGTGTGTGTGTGTGTGCATGTGTGCGTGCGCGTGTGTGCGTGTGTGTGTGTGGTATGTGTGTCTGTCGGTGTGTATATATGTGCTTTTGTGAATGCGTGTCTAGCAAATGACATCTGTAAAAGCAGTGCCACCCCAAGACGTGAACATCTACCACGCTTTCTCCAACATAGAAGCTTCAACCTGCCCCCGTCGCGTTTGGTTTGTTTTGCGTGTATGCGTGTGTGCGTGTGTGTATGTCTGTGTGCGCCTGTGTGTGTGTGTGCTTGCGTCCGTGTGTGTGTGTGTGTGTGTGTGTGTGTGTGCGTGCGTGCGTGCGTGCGTGCGTGCGTGCGTGCGCGCGCGTGCGTGCGTGCGTGCGTGGGTGTGTGCGTATGTGTGTGTGTGTGTGTGCGTGCGTGCGTGCGTGTGTGTGTGTGTGTGTATGTTTGTTTGTGCGTGTGTGTGTGTGTGTGTGTGTGCGAGTGTTGGTTTGGGAGCCTTCAGGAAAAACAGACAAACAAATAGGGTGACCCCCTGGGAAACAAAACTGCGGGCGACCCGGATCCCCCCCAACAGAACCCTTTCGAACCCCCTGCCGCGGGCTTTCGTGGGGGATGCTCGAAGAGAGGAGAAGACCTCCCTGAATCCCCCCGCCCTCGGTCTGGTTCGAAGCCTTGCCTCCAGAGCCCTGACGAAGCCCTCCCAGACTCCGTCGCGTGTCTTCCCCTGAGACCCCCCCCCCGGAGGAAGCGCCCCTGAGGACCCCCCCGTCACGACCCCGAGGGGCGAGGGGGGCCCGGGAGCGCTCCCAGAGGGCCCGCCCCAGCCCACGACGGCCCAGGAGGATCCTAAAACGGCTCCAAAGGGGGCCCAACAGAGAAAACACTGACCAGAAATCTCAGCCTTCCGCCCCAAGAGGCCCCCAGGAGGCCCCAAAAGGCGCCCAAGAGGCCCCCATGAGGCCCAAAAGAAGCCCCAAGAGGCCCCAACACTGCCCCCAAGTGAAACTGCTGTCAGGAGCAGGGCTTAACCGCTCCGACCCCCAGCACCCCTCTTAGGAAGTGAGTTGATTATGAGGTCGTCGTCGTCGTACGAAGGTCGACGACGACCGCTACATTTTTGGCTCAAGAATCTTGGCTCAAGGTCGGAGGACCTTGAGTGACCCCTTTGAAGACATTGTACCTGTTGGGTTTACGGCAGCCTGCCCGACTGTCGGGAAACCGTCCTACTCTCATTGCCATTGATCTCTCTCCCTCCCTCGTTTAATTTCGTTGACACTCCGACCCGGGATCCTTCCCATTACCTCGCAGAGCCGCCAGGCCTGCGTAGAAAGGAGGGCTTCATACTCTCTGGGACTACAGTACAAGAATTATTCAGACGCGTATCCAGTCTGATTCTCAAGAAGCCCGAAAACTGCCTCCAAGAGGCCCCCAAGGGGCTTCTCACGAGATCCCAACGAGCATCAAATAGGCTTCACACGCACAACCTAGGCACGGTGGCGGGATGGGCCGAGTGTTCTTTGATAGCGCCTTTCGGCAGGAATCTGGTGCAGGCTGCGCGAGTACTAAAAATCACGTTTTGGGGGCCTCCCTCTGATGCATACTTGGTTGTTGCTCCTCTCTGGCAGCACCTAAAGCGGACCAATTGCAGCCGCCCTCTATTCGACAAATAAAAGCCACTGCATCTAAATATGTTGCTTTAAACGCCAGCCGGTTTCGCCGAGCGGTCAGGACATTCGCATCGCAAAAACGGGAACACAACCTACGGACTCGCACAACCGTCTGCAATGACGCGACAACCGCAACAAGAGCATCTGCCACGAGTCCAATCGAGTTCGGTCTGTTCTGGTCTGGCCCTGAGCAGTCGCATGCAGCCCAGCCGAGTCTCCCTCATCATCGAAGCAGCTCTTACGGGGCGGGTGCGAGGGCCACCTCGATCTGCGAGATCGAGCCCATCAGCCACTCGCCATTTCGCCTCACCTGCAGCATCCGACATAAGGAAAGTCACTCCCTCCACAAACATCCTTCAAAACGCGTCCCCTTCTCGACTCAACCGCGTGCTTGTGGCGGAAAGGCGTCTGTACTCAAGTATTGCCGAGAGAGCATGCGGTGTGCAAAACAATTCGCCTGGCGGAGGACCCAACCATATGCAGTTGTGAGTAACGCAATTGTGAATATTGTCACCCGTGGAGCTCCCTATAGGGCCACGAAACGTGTAATTAAGGGGTGAGCATGGGTGGCGGGGACACATGCGGACGGCACCGTCGGTGAAACTCCTTGTGCGGCCACGAAACGTATGAGGGGTGTGCCGAAATTCGTGGCGGTCCTTCGGTGAAGCTCCCTTTGAGGCCACGAAACGTGTGGGGGGTATGCCGACATGGGTGGCGGGGACGCATGTGGGCGGCACCACGTGGGGCCTTGGGTGGAGCTCCCCATGGGGCCACGAAGCGTGGGAGGGGTGTGCCGAAATGTGTGGCGGGGACGCATGCGGGCGGCACCATGTGGGGCCTGACGAACGGGTGGCGGGGACGCATGCGGGCGGCACCATTTCTGGCCTTGTGTGGAGCTCCGCTTAGGGCCACGGAGCGCGCGAGAGGTGTGCCGACATGGGTGGCGGGGACGGATGCGGGCGGCACCATTTGGGCCTTGGGTGGAGCTCACTATGGGGCCACGAAGCGTGTGAGGGTGTGCGGAAATTGGGGGACCCAACGCCACAGGATGGTTGGAAACTAATCTGACACGAGGTGTGCTGTCATACCTATGCAGTTGCCGCACGTCTGCCCCTGACCCCAAGCGTCCTCTGAAGCGAAGGCGCAAACACAATCATGGTCTAGTCATCCAACATGGGCCAACACATCACAAGCACTGCGTCTGCTTCTCTTAACACGCATGCGCATGAACCATGATACGCTTGCCTCTGTGCGCCTGGTCCTCCGCACCCCGTCGGCACTGCCCCGGGTTCCGTCCCTACCGCGGTGGGCTGTTTGCAAGGCGTCGGTCGCATCCTGCGTTGCTCGCAACTGCATTGGGTCAGGTCCTGCGCTCCGCAAGCTTTGAAGTTTGCCGGGGCTGTCCTCTCCCCAGTCCGGGGAGCCCCCGCGGCGCGATGGAGACCGGTCGCAACCGCTTCGGACCGATCGTCGACCACTTCGGACTGATCACAACTAGTCGCGATCGGTCCGAAGTGGTTGCGGTGTTTTTGGGTCGCTTCAATAACAGTTTCGATTCAGGGAAAGATCATAAGAGCGCTTCTGGGTGCACTGAACTCCTTTAAGCCAGACAATGGGAATCTGAAAAGGCGGTTGCGATCGGTCCGATCACCGGCGGCCGACCGTGATCTAACACATGTACTGAGCTCGAACGTGGCCACGACCCGTATACGATTCCTATGTGATTCGTATATGATGCCTATGCGATTCGTATACGATTCCTGTGTAATTCGTATACTACGATTCCGATATGATGTGTGTACGATTCTAATGTGATTCGTCGGAGGGATTCGCCAGAATCCAAAGAGGGTCTCTTCGGAAATCTTAAGGATTCCTACCGATCCCACCAATTCCCAGATTCCTGAAAGGGCCTCCTCGGGAGTCCTAGGAATTTCCAAGGATCCGACCAAACGCCAGATTCCTGAGAAGGATCCCTGAAGGGTTTAAAGGATTCCCACGGATCCCACCAATTACCAGATTCCTGGGAGGGCCTCCTAAGGAATCCTAAGAATTCCCAGGGATCCGACCAATCCCAGATTCCTGAAAAAGGGCCTATGAAGGAACCTGGTAATCCTAAGGATCCTACCAAGTGCAAGATGCCTGGGAGGGCCGCCTAGGCAATCCTAGAAATTCCCGGGGATCCTACTATTTTTTCAAATGCCTGGGAGGGCCTCCGAAAGAACCACAAGAATTCCGAAGGATCCTACCCAGTGCCAGATTCCTAAAGATGGTCACCTAGGCAATCCTAGGAATGCGACGGGGTCCTCCCAATTGCTCAGATTCCTGGGAGGGCCTGTTCGGGAACCCCAGGAATTCCAAGGCATCCAATCAATTGCCAGATTCCTGGAGGGGCCTCCTAGGCAATCCTAAGACTTCCTAAGGATGCTAGCAATTGCCAGATTCCTGAGAAAGGCAGAACAGTCTTTCTGAGAAGCCTTTCAGAGGCCTCACAAAAGCTCTTCAGCAGTTCTGCAGAAGCTCTGCAAGCTCTGCAAAAGCTCCTCAGAAGTTCTGCAGGAGCTCTTCAGAAACTCTTCAGAAGCTCTTCAAAAACTCTGCATAAGCTCAGCAGAAGCTCTTCATAAACTCTTCAGAAGCTATGCAGAAGCTCTGCAGAAGCTTTGCAGAAGCTCGTCAGAAGATCTGCAGAAGGTTTGAAGAAGCTCTGCAGAAGCTCTGCACAAGCTCTACAGAAGCTCTGCAAACAAATCTCAGCAGAAGCTCTGCAGAAGCTCTGCAGAAGCACTTCGGAAGCTCTGCTAACTCTCTGCAGAATCTCTGCAAAAGATCTGCAGACGCTCTTCGGAAACTCTGCCGAAACTCCTGGATCGGTTGCAATCCGGTGTTCTCCACAAAGCTTCCGTTTCCAGTGGTTGTAATCTGATCGAAGTCATTTCTGAACAATCCGAAGTGGTTGTAATCGGTCTTATTCTCCCCCCGCGGCCCCTAGCAGCGCTTTACCGCGCTCAAGATGTCGAACGCCATAAAATCAATGATTCAAGCAGCCAAGCACCAATTGCAAGTTCGGAGATCCGCTCGCCTGGCCATTCGGGTCAACCCTGTTTTGGCGCGCAGATGACCTCTGCGTTTCGAGGTCGTCCAGAGGAAGCTCGTCGCAAGCGCAGTTTTTCCATATTCAAAATACGGGGGTCGTATTATTAGTGTCAAGTCTCCGTATGCTTACCTCACTCCCGCCTTCTCCGTATCAACTCCCTCATGCTCAGACTCTCTAACACTCAGATGCGCTCATACTCGGGCTTCACCCATACTCAGACTCACTTACTAAGACCCACGCGTCCTCATGACCGTTCAGACTTCCCACGCTCAGACTCACTCAGACTCAGACCCACTGACACCGAAACCCACTCGCAGTAATATTCACACATACCGACACCTATTTATACTGAGACCACCGCTTCATATCCGTTCGTTCTCAGCGGAGTCATACGGAGAGTGAAACACACTGGCCGCTCACACTTGAATCTTCCACACTCAGACTTGCTCATGTTAACACTCACTTGCACTCACTCGCTCATACCCAGCCCTGCTTTTACTTAGCAGGCATTGCATTTTGAACCACCCGAGGGGGAGCTGCCAAGGGGTATGTTACAGACTGTGGGGATGGCTCAAGCGAATCGCCCAGTCTCCGCTCTGCACACATCTCGATTCAGAGCCTCATGATCACCGCTATGTAGCAAGCGTGGTGGTACCTGGGCCTTCCAATGGGGGAGCAACCATCAGGCTTTGACACGGGCCCGTTCGCGACTAGACTGTGGGGATGTCTGAAGCGAAACGGCCGTTCCCAGCTGTTGGCGTGGCTCTTTTCAGAGCCTCATGATCACCACGATGTAACATGTATGGCATGTTGACCATCCGAAGGGGAGCGGCCAAGGGACACGACACCGGGCCCGTTGGCGCGCAGCCTGGCGGGACGTCTGCAGCGTAGCGCCCGCTCGCTGCTGTGGACGCGCCTCTCTTCAGAGTCCCACGGTCGCCGCGATATGGCAGGCATGGCAAATTGTCAACCCAAGGGGGGACGCCGCCAGGGGGTGTGACACGGGCCCGCTCGCGTTCAGATCGTGGGGGGGGTCATGCGAAACGCCCGTTCGCGGCTCTGGACGCATCTCGCTTCAGAGCCTCACGGTCACCGCCACGTTGCAAGCATCGTACTTGAGCCTCTCAAGGGGGGAGCGGTCACAGGACATGGAACGGGCTCGTTTGCGTCCAGATTGTGGGGATGCCTCGGGCGAAGTTCGCGGCTGTGATGTGGATCTTTCTCAAGCCCTACGACTACTGCGATGAAGCAGGCATTGTAGTTTCCCAATGAGGCTTTGCCTGGGGTTTCTTTCTCATGTTCGCAGAATCGGTGGATGCGAGGCGTGGTCGTCGCCAGGTTGCCTGGGGTTCCTCGGTCTCGTTTCCTTACAAGGGAGGTTCCCCGGGGTTCCGCGGTTTTGTTTCCTTACGCGGCGTTGCACAACTTTCCTTGGGATCCTTCGTATTGATTCCTTGGGCTTGGTTCCTTGGTTCCTTGATTCCCTTGTCTTGGTTTCTTGCTTCCTTGGTCTCGGTTCCTTGGTTAGGATTCCTTGGTGCCTTGGTCCCGGTTCCTCGGTTCCTTGGTTCCTTGGTCTTGTTTCCATTGTTCATTAGTCACTTGCTCACTGACTTACTTGCTTACGTGCTCATTCGCTGACTTACTTGCGTAGATGTTTTCTAGCTCAACAACTTACTTCAATACATACTGTTGTACTTACTTCGTCACGCACTGACTCACTCACGTATCTCCGCCCTTACTTGCGTCCTTACTTACTTACATACTTGATTACTCGTGCTTACTCGGCGACGTTTTCCTAATTCAAGTTGCGCCAGGTTCATTGGACGGCCCAAGGGGGTCCGCCCGAGAAAGGGTATGACATGGGCCCACTCGCGCCCATATGGTGGGGATGTGTCACGCGAAACGCCCGTTCCGGGCTGGCAGCGCGTCTCTCTCCGTAGCCCCAGGATCACAGCTGTGTCGCAGGCATGGCACTTGGGCCTGCCATGGGGGTGGCCATCATGGGGGCATGACACGGGCTCGCTCGCGCTCATATTGGCGGGATATCTCTACTAGAACGGCCGTTGGTGGCTGTGGGCGCGTCCCTGTTGAGAGCCCCACGGTCACCGAGATGCAGCCGGCATGGCACTTGTGCCTCTCAATGAGGAGCCACCAAGCGGTATGACATGGGCGCGTTCGTGCCCAAATTTGTTGGATTTGCGACATCCGCCCGCACCCGGCAT